GTGTGTGTGTGTAACAAGGTATGGTTGTTACTATGGTTGTTACTAACAATACTCCCATATTGTTAATATGTTTGATATTCTGTCACAACCCCTTCTTCATCATTAAAACAATATTGGAAAGTACTATGAAGGCTCTTGCTGGCCGTATGCCTGGCCAGCTTTTATTTTATTCTTTATGGTCACAATAACTGGGATTTTAGTGAGATGTGCTCTATTTTTTTCTTCCTCGATACTTTTGGTTTTGTCTGAGATCCACTTCTTGTTCTGCCTTCTGTGTATGTTTCAGTAATTGAAATTCATTATCCTTGCTTAACAACCATTCATTCAGTGACCGTTCAAAGTTACTATGGCATTGAACAAATGATACTTATGCCTGGTCGTCAAAGTTACAGCTGTTGCAGCGCCCCTGCAGTCATGTGATCAAATTTCAGGCAGCCCGTTTGCACTTACAATCACAGGGGCGCTTCAACTCCCCCCACCTGCCTATATCCCACCCCATCCATAAGTGACTGCCTCCTTTTCAACTCCCCCTACCCATCTATATCCCCTCCATGTCTACCCTTTTGGCCGCCTTGCACAGTGGCACTCCTCAGTGGCAGTGCTGGGAGTAAAGTAGAGGTCTGGGGCCTTCAGCAGTCTCAGCCTGCTACTGCTGCCCTCAGTCCTCTACTTCAACCCCAGTACTGTTGGCACTGCTACCACACCAAGGAGTGCCACCTCAAGCCTTGTGCCATGGCCAGCTGCCATAGCGCAAAGCCCCACCTGCCCCCGCAACCCTGTGTCCACTGGCCCTGCTGCGCCCAGCTGACCTTCGCCATCTTCCTCCTCCTGCTGCTGATGAGGCGCACCCAGCCTGGCCCTATGTGAGGCAGCTGCTGGCCACACCAAGCCTTCCTCCCAAGATTTTGGAAGGCCTCAGAATCCTTCTGAAGCATCATGAGAAGAGTGTGTGAGATTTGGAGGATGGAGTGTGTGAATTGGAGAATGGTGTGTGCAACCTCAGGAAGAAGCCCTGGTGCAGCCAGCAGCTGCCTTGCATAGGGCCGGGCCAGGCGTGTCTTGTCAGCAGCGGGAGGAAGAAGACGGTAAAGGTCAGCTGGGTGCAGCAGGGCTGGCGGAGTGCAAGGTGGCTGGGGCTTTGTGCTGGGGTGGCTGGCCACAGTGTGGGGCTTGAAGTAGCACTTCCCGGTAGTGGCACCGGTGGCGCTGGGGCTGAAGTAGAGGCCTGGAAGTGATGGTGGCCAGCTGAGACTGCTCAAGTCTCTGGGCCTCTGCTTCAGCCCCAGTGCTGCCACCGCTGCTGAGAAGTGCTGCTGTTCAGGGCGGCCAAAAGGGCAGAGTTGGAGGGGAGATAGGTGGGTAGGGGGAATTGAAGAGAGGCAGTCCCTTATGTCACCAAGGCTTAGGGCTGGGAAGGACCAAGCCGGGAATGGCTTGGATTAGGGTGGGTCCTTGCCTAATGACCGGTGGAACTTGGTTAACAATGGCAATGGGGATTGCTGGGATTTCCATCGCTAAGCAATGTGGTTACATGACATTGTGCTTTACGACTGCATCACTTAGTGACAGAAATTCCAGTCCCAATTGCCATCGTTAACTAAGGACTACCTCTATTAGAAGTTTCTAGATATCCTGAATCCACAAATGGGTAGGAGGATGTCATGTTACAGGATATTGTTTCCATGTTTCTTGATAATGCTTAATGTTTGTTTTCTTGGGTGCAAGTATGTTTTGAATTTTTAGCAAAGCTTTGCCTCACCTGGAAATAAGTTTTTCCTTATATTATAATTTCAGTTACATTTTTTTCTTCTTATATAATTGAAGGTGCAGCATGGAGATGAAAACAAGGCTGCTCTTGGAGTGAAATCTCTATCTGGAGGTGAACGTTCCTTCTCCACAGTTTGCTTCATCCTCTCTCTATGGTCCATTGCTGAATCTCCTTTCAGATGCTTGGATGAATTTGATGTATTTATGGTATAGTTGGCTGAATTTACTTATTGCGAAAAATTAGATCATGGATGGGCTGATCTGGGGGGTAGCTTGGATTGTTTCTTGGTTTGTTATGTGCTTATTATAGGGTTTATACTAGTTTTGTGCCACTAGTTTTTAGCAGACATGATCAGAGGAATCAGATAAGCTAACCCTGAATTAAGCAAAGTTGCTGGAAAATGACTGTTGTAGAAGAAAAAAGGGTGGCATTGGGACTAGTTTTTAAGACAATAATATACATTGAATTGTTTTGGAAATTTGAATAAAATGTGTTTTTTAAAAATAACATTTTGCACAACTTTGATATCTTTTAGGACATGATTAACCGGAGCGTTGCAATGAACATGATGCTTAAGATGGCAGACTCCCAACGGTATCGGCAGTTTATTTTGCTCAGTCCCCAGAACGTGAGGTATCTATAGTACATTTCCTGGTCCCTATTCTTATAGGTATTTTAAGGCTTTTAACTTTTTTAAAAACTAATTTATGTCAGTCATCTTACACCCTTAAATATACTTCTTATGGTTAATTTACATTGGAAGTTCTAGAGGTATGCTGGATAAGATGTGATATCAGCAATGAATGCTAAATTTTGAAATGAAATATACTAAATTGAAGCTTTAGAAATATCTGTGACTGAATTAGGTTAAATAAAATGCAGAAAAAATCAGAACATAAAGATGTATATGTATATAATTATAAATTGTATTGAATTGCAGCATATTTATTTTATTTATTTATCATATTTATATAGCCGCCCATCTCATATGAAAGTGACTCTTGCATGAAAACTCCCAGTCACTTATTAAGATTTCTATAAACTCTGAGGACCTGCATGACCACAAGATTGGATCCTAACTTGAGTAACCATAGTTTCAGGAGATAACAACTTTCTTGTGTGGTTTCTTAAGCAGAATACTTTTGTTGTTAGTTAGTTAAATGATTTGTAATAATTTACACATTTGTGAATTGTAGACTTTTTAAATGCTGTTAATTTTTTCCCTCCCTATGGGTCCATACCCTTTGTAGAAACAAGATTTTTCAGTCCTGTTGTAAGGATTCAGAGGTCTCCGTTGGGCTGACACTAAGTAATTAGGTTCATTGTCCCCAGAAATGGGTGAAGAGATCATTTAGGAGATCAACAAGACGTTTTCCTCGCAGTTTGGAATAGCACCCCTCCCCTCCCTTGAACCTGTTTACTAGGATCTGGAGGGAACAGACTGAGTAGTTGTCTCTACGTAGATTCAGTTCTAACATGGCATTTAGCAGGAGTGCTGTTGCCGTTGTTACAGTTGTGAGTAAAAATATGTTGGGTCAAAAGCTATTGCTACCAGGTTTGTGACTAGTTTATAAAATAACTCATAAAAATGCATAATGGGAATATGAACATCCTAGTACTCAGAGTAGCTTTGTGCAATATTGAATCCCATGGATTTAACATATAATAAAAGATCTTGTAGATTATCTTCTTGCTCAGAGTCTGCAGGATTTACGAATGCAACTACAGCAACCCTGACAGATGCCATTTAATTAGTTCTGCTTTAGTTCATTTTTGTCGTGAAGAAGGGCCCATCACTTCTGGAAGCAAGTAGAGGACAGTTAATGCTCTTAACATTTAGTTGAAATCTGCTTCATTGCAGATTCCACCCATTCATTCTAGTCCTTTCTTCTGAAGAATCCGAGAACAAGTCTCCCCCTCAGGTGCTTGAAGGCAGCTATTATATCTCCCTTTAACCCAGGGACAGGTAAAGTTTTGGCAGCTCTAGAGTTTTGCTTACGATTGTTAGACTGACTATTCATTTAATTTGCCTAAAAGATAGTTCCAGTGTTTCTATGAACTTGGTATTTAAAATGCTGATATGTTTTTGATAGATCATGTTTACACAGGTTAAAGATGGGCTGTCATTTTAAAATGTCATACAAAGTAAAGAACCGGGTGGGGTCCAGGTATGAAAACATTGCATGAAAGAATCATTGCTAATTTGTTTCTCCATTTTGTATCTAGTTTGCCCACAAGTCGTCTCATCCGAATCCTTCGAATGCAAGACCCTGAGAGGGGACAAAGGACGCTGAATTTTAATCATAGAAATGAAGACGAAGATAGAGAATGAGTGCTGTAGTTACATCTCGTCTGCTATTACTAATTTGTTTCATAATACAGGAAGACACACAGACTTTGTTCACTGCTGATAAAATCAGTGAAATGTGAGCTTTATTGTTCTTCAAGCTTACTTGTGGCCTTTTCCCTCCTTATAACAGGTTTTTAATGGTACATAACATGTTTGAATTTTATGCTCAGATTTTGTAAATCTTTTGATGCCAGAATTATAGCGGTCAGTATGCTCTTTCTTGTACTTTGTTCTATGAATTGCATTTACTGTATAGTACTTGCCAGAGTTTGCTATTAATAATATATTTGGTGAATGTGGGAAATATTTTTATTGTTCCCAAAATAGAGGTAAACAAAGATTACCGAAGATGAATACATTTTATATAGTATGCTTAGCTGTTTTTACAACATTTTTGTAACCCTTATCAATAATTCCTCTAATAACATTTCCGTCTAAATTTGTATTTTTCCCTTTGTCACTGCAAAATACTACATTGTTAAGCCACTTTATTGTATACGTAACTGTGTCTTCCAAATCCTTCTCTTATCCATTTAGTTCCTGTGGCAAACAAAACTTTGCAGTTGAAGGTCGATTGTATATTGTTCTAAATCACTATTTTTGAACAAGCTATACTGGTGTAATTCATATAGAGAATGCTAACCCAGGACTAAGCCCTATGTGGCCCTGCCAGTATAGCTGAAGTATAAATCCCAGCATTCCTCCTCACTGGCCATGCTGATATGAGCTTCAGGCAGATGTACTGAAACAACATCTGGAAGAACAAAAGTTGCTCATTCCTGCACGGCATAACCCAGTTGAAAGGCCTCCTTGGCAAGGGAGGTTATTTGAAATCTTTGGGAATGATACAAACTAACTTAAAATGTTTTATTTTTCTAAGTACAAAAAAAAAAAAAGGAAAAATAATAAACCACTTTCAAATGTAGCATCAGGTGCAGCTGATTGCATGGACACCACACTAATGTAGGAAGAGTTAATTATCTTCCAAGATGGAAGGGGTTCAGTTGCAGTTACTGCGGCGCTGAAAAAAGTGGGATGTACGACCAGTCCTCAAAGTTCCGGCCACTGCAGCAACCCTGTGGTCATGTGATTGCAATCTGGATACTTGTGTGCCCGGTTCATGATTACAACATCACAGGGAGCTGCGTTCATGTGATTGCCATTTGCTACCTTCCCTGCCAGCTTCCCACAAACAAACCCAATGGGGAAGCCGGCAGGAAAGGTTGCAAGTCACTCCGGTAAATCGCTCAACTTCCACCAGCCCTCCCAGCCCCTCCCCTGGCCTCCCACAACTTGCATGCCGCCTGCGCCGGCCCTCCCATGACTTGCACACAGCCTATACTGGCCCTCCCAGGCCTTCCTCAGCCTCCCCCACCCCCCTGCGGCACCCATACACTACTTACCTTTTACTTACCTAAGTATTTTTTTAGCAACTATTCTATAAATTAAGACTGGAATTATACAACCTTGTGCTGGAGTTCAAGTGCTCTGGCATTCCTGGAATTTCCTGTTTTGAGTGCAGCTCTGTGCACAACACAAGAATGAGACCTAGAGAAACTCTTGACTTTCATAATAGTTTCTGGGGATTATGAAAGGCTGATGTTAGCCCTTTGAGGTAGACCAGACTAGAAAACCAAAGTTATGAATGCTAAAACTTTTATTATATGGTTACAGTAACAGAATCCTGCAAGTCTGAATACGCTTCCCCCCTCCCTTTCTTTTTCTTGGTGAGACCTAGGGAGGGTCAAGTCTGAGATGTTTTCTCAAATTACATTTCTGCTTTGGACTCAAATTTCTTTTATCTGACTGTGTCTTGGTTGCAGCTCTTCTTCCTGTTCCTTAAGATTATTCCTCCTGTCCATTATACCTGCAATGGAAGATGGTTGGAGCTCAGTTCTGTAAGCACCTGGGTGAAGTCCCCATGCATATACAGAAGCTCCACTGAGAATTATTTGGCTATCAAAGAGCATTCATCACCTATTTAATTCCAGCGCTAGCAGCAAAGTACCTGTGTAAAAGGAAACACATGAGAAGTCAAATGTTATAAATTTATTTGGGGACATTGATCTCAACCTTTTTGGAAGCTTATGAAAATTTCAAGCAGAAATTAATACACTCCCAACAAAACAGTTCAAACTTCCAGTAAAACAGCATTGAAAATGTGTTTTTTCTATATTTCTATGTTCTATATATTCTATATATTCTATATTTATTTGTTTAACTTTCAGTTAAGGGAACACCTTAGTGGGGTTCGCTTTTTTAAAGTGTTATGCTTCATTCCTCTGACATGAGCCTTTTTTTTTGTTTAATTTTTTGAAAGAAAGGATGCAAATGAGGTAAGAATTAAGGCAAACCTAAAAGTCATGCAAATGAAATACATTTATATTCACTGACAATACAAGCACATGACTGGATCAGACTCCTAAAGCTGCCCTCAGTCTGTCCGCTACTACTATACAGCAGAATGGTGACATACTTGCTAATGAACAGTTACACTACCATGGGGAGTTCAGTGTCACTAACATTATCCAGTTTAGAACACACATAACTAGCATCAGTAAAACTTGAACAATAAATAGTATAGTTCTCTGCAGCATGGTATCGCTGCATAGGCATCAGAGGAAAAAGGACTTATGAAATGACATTGCACACATCACATTGTGGCATAATTTTGTTTTATAATAGATATTTTTAAAATTCTTTAGCAATTGACATTCTCATGCACACAAGTGTTTCAAACACAAGAAGCAAGTCCATTGATAGGTAGTCCAAGCAATTTTTGTTTGTTTTGTGTGTGTGTGTGTTTAGATAGCTGCAAACTGAATGGAACATTTAAACTTCTGTGCAGTCCATGAAAGCATTTTATACAAGCTCATTTCTGAATGTCACATTGCAGGAGTAATACGATGGAAGGGTCACTCTTTGCAGCTTCTTTGAATTCATCCAATGTAATCTGATCATCTTTGTTCTTATCCATTTTGCTGAAAATCTTGTCTACTCGTTGCTCTGGTGTGAGACCATCTTCATTCATTTTCATCATTATCACAGTGCCCACCATTTTATAAATGGCCTTGAGAGAGAAAAATATGAATTTCATGAGATCTGGCAGAATTACTCTATCAGCTGAAACATCTATAGAGCAATGCTGTAGTTGTCTACTTGGAGATATAGTCAACTGAGTTCAGCAGGGCTTATTACCTGGGCAGTGAAGATTGGATTACACTTTTAAGCAACAACTCTGCCATCTAGCCTGATTTAAGCACAACAGTTAAATGTAGATCAAACAGAACGTTAAACATATGCTATCGGTGACAGTACAATACACTGTGAAAGTCTAAATTGTTAAATCGAGAGATGATACTTTCCGATTTATTTTGAAAGTCTGTTGCATTGCTTCCTTAAATTAGGGAGAGCTTTTATGTCAGCATTTTGTAAAAAGAATGCATCTGTGCAGTTGGGAGTATTCACCTGTATTTACTTTTTACCAGAGAGCCTGTTGGGGCTGAAGAACTCTACTGTGTGATTCACACTGGGACACCCTGTCAATTAGAAGTGGGCCACCAATAATAGGAAAAGGGCAGATTCTGTCACCACATCAACAGTGTCACCATTAGAGTGAGTGACATTCTTTCCCCTCTGGAGGAGGAAATAAAAGAATTCTCTCAAGAACATTGCTGTACTGAGGCTTAAGATTTAGACCAGGGTGAGGAAATGCCCTCCTACTCATTCAGGCCTAAGGACCTAATACGGCCACTGTTGCCTAGCTACTGTAGAATTGCAGAAGACAAAGACTCTGTCCCTCCTTTTAGCTGACGAGTCAATTCAGGTTGTCCCCGGTTAATGATGGGAATTGGGATTGGATTTTTTGTCCCTAAGCGATGCAGTCATAAAGTGTGACATCATGTGACCCCATTGCTTAGTGACGGCAATCCTGGCACTCCTTGTTGCCGGTGTTAAGTGAGGATCATGGGTCATTAAGCAAGTCCCAGGTGGCTCACAAACAGGCTGGCAGGCAGGTAAGTGGCTGCTGCCGGGTGGGGGACTGTGTGCAGGTGGCTGGTGAGATGCAGCGCAAGCATGGTGGGGCCAGGAGTGGCTGCTGCCAGGAGGGAGAGAGTGTGAACAACTTACTGGAGTGACTTGCAACTTTGCTTGTGGGAAACCAGCAGGGAAGGTTGCAAATGGCGATTATGTGATCACGGGAGGCTGTAACCGTTGTTAAATGCAAGCCAGTTGCCAAGCACCCAGATTGCAATCATGTGACTGTGGGGTTGGTGGGATGGCCAGAACTTCAAGGACCAGTTCTAAATACCACTCGTTCACCGCCACTGTAACTTCAAATGGTCGCTGAACAAGTGATCGTTAAACAAGAACTACCTGTAATGATGTCTAGGTGCATTGGATAATTTTGCATCGCATTGCAATTTGATGTGAGATTGTATAGATTTTGCCTTGTGCATTATTTTCTGTGAAGGAGGTATTGAACTAAATCTTAAATTTATCTTTTATGATATAGTTTTTAGGATAATGTTATCTCGTGATCATTGTCCATAAAAAAACTTGGTTTCCTTACTGTGGCCCTCCAAATTTTGGTGTATTACAGCATCTAGCAGCCCCAGGCAGCATGGCCCATGGTAAAGGATGCTGAGAGTTGTAATTCCACAGCATCGAAATACATACAAATTCCCTTGCCATGGCATAGATTATATTTTCAGCTGGCAATCTCATCACTGATAATCAGGCCTCCTGCTTACATAGCCCCAGCCTTTTATAGATCCACCCATTCTATGTCACTGTTGGCATATTTCCTCATTTTTTATCATAAAACCCTCAAGGTGGTAAAACATCAAAAAGTCACCAAAGCAGAACATTTTGTTTCTTGCTCACAATAGAAAGCGAGCAAGAAACAAAATGATTCTTGAGGATACTAGAATTTGGCTTACCTCTATAATTTCCAGCATCTCTACCCTTGTGATTTTTCCATCTCCATCTAAGTCATACATATTGAAGGCCCAGTTTAATTTCTGTTCAAAGCTGCCCCTTGAAGTAATGGAGAGCGCACAGATGAACTCTCTGAAGTCAATGGTTCCGTCGCCATTCTTATCAAAGGTTCTGAAAGCATGTTGAGCAAACTTTGAAGCATCTCCATATGGGAAGAACTACAAAATTAAACACAAACAAAAGTATTAGAAGACAACTTAAACCTTAGCTTTTAGATTCTATGTCCGATTTAAGAATGTATTTTAAAACAGTTCTAAGCACCTTGACTTTTCAGAAATATTTGGCTTTCTTCGTATTCCAACCTTTTGCACATTTGATGCCATCATAACCCAACTGACTTCCAGGAAATTATATCCAAGTCCAAGACTCTAGCCTTCGGTCCCTTTGAAGATGACATCTTGGCTGGAATTCTATCAAGTGCCTGCAGAATTTATAATATCGTAAATCAAACTAGATTAGCTATTTCCAGTTGCTGTCAGATTGTGCCAGGAAACGTGAGACTTATTGGCCTTCGGGGCTTTCATTCTTTCTTTCATTTCTTGCTTTAGCTATGAATTCTAATAACCATGAAATTGTCCATTTATTAAATGAAGACGAAGTGCATCTACATAACCTTTCATAGCATTGAATTTCATGGATGCCTCCGTACAGGTTAACAGGAGAATGAGCAGAAGCAGTTACTTTTATTTTTTGTCATAATTTTTTGTCATTTCAGCTTATCCAGGATCAATTTCCCCATTCTGCTACATTTTTATTATTGGGCGCAACCAAGGTATTTGACAGTATCTGCTCGGTATTTATGGAAAGTATTTTTACTAAAGATGTGAGAAATACTTATAAAATGCAGCAAAAAAGTCTTCCAAAATAGAATCAGAGCAAAGGGAGGAATCTTTAATGCTCTTGACTCAACCTTGTGAGAGGTTTGGGAGCCACGGGTTCTGGATATGGGTTGCTTATCACAAAATTTGGGAGGTTAAAAATCAGACAGGGAAAGGAGACAAAACAAGAGGTGATGGTTACAGTAATTTGACTAGCACTGTGATCTAGAATGGGATTGAAATCAGACAATGACTATGAAGTCTTACATGAAGAGACCTGAAATAATCTAATGGACTCTTTCATCTTCTACCTAGGTAGAATTATTCTAACCAGTTACTGAGAATGTAGTCCTTGATATATCTGATTTCTTTGCATAATGTTTAATTCCCTTTGTGATTAAAAATGCAAATAACTTAATCATAACATTTTCTTATTATTTGTGTGGCTAATATTGCAAAAGGTGTAACCATGAAAGCTGATAGTACTAGTATACACTATTGGGAAAGAGATTTTGAAAAATTACAGTAATCAGAAGTGAAAATAGTAATTTCAATCCTTTTCCTCATTATTTTTGTCTTTTCCTTTCACACATACTCAGGATAATTTTTTTAAGGATAGGGACACACTACACATATGCACAAGATACACACATTATAATGCCTCCTTGGGATACAGACATTTATGCATCATGGCAATGGAGAATCGGAGGATGTCAGGACTAGCAACTTCAGCAAAAATTAAATGTACATAGTAACACAGAATGTATTAGTATGTAGGTTAACATTAGTTAATCCTGAATCAATATAGAAGTGACTGCACAGCTGAGTGGACTCAATGGAGATGGAAAAAAAGTGCACTGCATGTTATATGCTATGGAAGAAAATATGGGAATATTATACGGTCTAAGGCAGGGAGTCTGAATTAGAGACAGTAGGTAGATTGGGCTAGCACAAGGGAGATCAGCATTCATCTGTCTGTCAGCCATACACGTTAGTCCCAAAGGGTGCTCAGCAAAACTATTCTCTGTTAGAGGCAGCTGAACTCTGAATAGGTTACAGCTCTGTTACTGACCACCAAGAGGTAGGCACTACGTATCAACAGAAGCGAATATGTGTAGCTCAGGGTTGAACTGTGGAGTCCTTGGGGTTCTCTGAGCTTGGTTGTTTTCTTTCAAACGTTCTGTTACCTGGCTAGGTAACATCTTCAGTGCTACAATGGAGTGGGGTTTGCTCTCTGTTTATATACAGTGGCATGCCCTGC